TCCTTCTCTCTCTCTCTTTCTTCCTCGTTCCTTTTCTCGCGCGCGACGCGCAAAACGGCGATGCAGTTTGCAAACCGAGCAAATGGACCGGAAGACTCGTACGCGAGATATAAATAGGCTCCGGGCGACCGGGAGGAGAGAAGCAATATATCTACCCGACTAAACTCCACTAAATTGCCTCGTGGTGGTAATACGAGAGAGGAGCGACGTGGAATCGGGTACGTTCGCGGTTCACGCGCGAGAGAGCGAGGAGGAGGAGGAGAGAGAGAAAGAGCGCGCGGAGGGCCCGTTCATCGATGCGGCACGCTGCGCGCGCGCTCGTTTAAGCGCGAGAGATTTATGGAATATCGATAAACTCCCGAAGAATTGCGATCACTGTTCCCCCCGCCGATCGTAATAGCGCGTTCCCCTCGTTTCGCTCTCTCCCGTCCGCGCGGCGCGCCTGCTCGTAATTGGCCTGAGCGGTGAACGTCGGCGAGAAAAGAGCCGCTGGCTCGCAGTCGGATTTTCCCAATTAGCGGGAGGACCTTCCTCTTGCTGCACTTTCGGCTGTACGTTACTTAACCGTTTAAGGTTAAACAGTGTACGTAATAATGTGCATTAACTTTGGGCCTTTGCTAAATTTCGTCTGTTGGTAAAGTAATGGTTAAGTAACGGTTCTGCCGGATATAATATTATCAATTCGTCTTGAATAAAGTTATACTCTCCGCCCTAACTCGCGAAATAGTGTCTTTCGAGCTGAAGGCCAATATATGCAGTTACATGTAAAGTCATCGTCGACGCTTGGATTTATAATATATAAAGTTATTTGTGAAGAAATATAAGTATTCTATTTATGAAGATTCGGTCCAATGTTCTTCAACGACTGTGTTATAAACAAGCGGAAAATAAAGATAAATATTTTTCAAAGAAAACAATCTTAATAGTTTCTCGTTTTTATACCTTAAATGCCTAATATAGATAATTATTTGTATCCAGAAAATCGTATTTCTCGACGGCCAATTTTATTCGGGCAGAAAAAATTTCATCAGAAAAGTCCTTTAAGACGATCTTCTATATTACAACATTTTACTCCAATGTAATCGATGTGTGGGTCTTAAAGGGTTAATCCTGCATCGCCAAAGTTGGAGGTACACGTTGAAATGAAAACCCTATGTAATTACGAGGAACATTTCGAGGTTAACATCTCGAATTTGGAAGTGCTACGCAATAGTATCGCCAAATTCGAGATACTGGTGAAATGTCCCTCTGTAATTACGTGGAAATTTTTATTTCAACGTATACCTCCAATCTGGCGATACATGCACTGAAAAAAAAATGTTATATATTCAAGTAAATAATTCTACAAAAACTCCAATACTTCTAAGCAAATTTTTACTTGGATTAAATAATATTACTGAAATTTAATACTTTGTGGTTACATTCCAGTAATATATTTCATTGATTTAAGTAAAATTTACTTAATCCGGGTAAAAATTTGCTTAGAAGTATTGGAGTAATTATTTACTTGAATGCAGCATTTTTTTCCAGTGTGGTTAACGGTGTATCGAGAAGGCGAGAGAAACGATAGAACACGTTCCGAAACTCGTCACGCGTGTATGTGTCTCATTTTCGTGTTTATCCCGCAATTAAGATAACGAAGACGCGCATCTGCGCGCCGAAGACGCGGCTCAAATCGTCTAATTAACGCGTCAGAGCGACGTCTGTTTACGCCGACTGATTTTACACGCGATTGTCCTACATAATTGGCCGCGGTAACGAATTATGGCTCACTGCAAGCACTCAATTACGCGGGCCGGGACTATTAATCGAGATACGGCAAAACACGAATAGCTAATATCCCGCGGCCGGCGAGTCGCGCTGAAAGCGCTCTACAGCGCGCCTGGACACCGGACTATCGGCGGATCTGCGCTAATCGAGTCCTCCCGATGCACCCGGTGTGCGTATAGTCGTCACGCACACGCACGCGTTTATGGATGAGCCACGTGCACCGCGCGGCTAGCGGCGCGCTTCTAAATTAAGCGCATCGCGCAGAGAGCCCCGCGCTCGAGTGCATAAAATTGCCCGCCGTGAACGGTGCGAAAAACGCTTTTACGCCGAGGCCACGCATTTTTCAGTGACCCGCGAAAAATAATTCCGCGTTCTCTCCTCGCGGCGATCGTATTAATACAGGAAAATTATAATGACCGTGTTCGTATGTTCACTACCAGTATTAAAAATCTATAACATACGTAATACACGCATGAATTGTAGATTTCCAATACTGGCAGTGAATATACGAACACTTCTAATATCACGGAGTAATAACAGCAACGGGGATTACATTAGTCAATAAACTATTGGTATTAACTCTTGGTATTATAAATTGATATTCCATTTGAATTTCAATTTCTTCTGTTCATGTTTATGTGTAGTAACAGAATATGACAATAAAGAGGATCGGTCGCCTTGAAGGAACCTGAATTTTTCTACCGCGGAATCCATGTATTACCCGAAAAGTGGGAAAAAGATTCCGAAGGACAATATTTTGAATAAGAACTAATGCACCGTTCTTTTGAAATAAACATGAGTTTTGTAGCAAAAAACAGCGAAAATTAACTCAAGCACCTAATAGTATTTACAGTTTTGTGTTTATATATCTGAGTTCGAAACAGCAAGTTGTATCTTCGTTGTTTATCTACTCTTTTCTGTTTAAATGTGCAAACATTAAATATTTGTCAACCAAAGGCCAAATGTACAAAAAATTTGTTTTCTAATATTTTTTCAAAACTTCCAAGATCACAAATAATTATAAAAAGAACAATTGAAATCTCTAGGAAATCGTGCTCATTAAAGAGTTAATTCGAGGTATATCGTTTGAGAGTAAGGAACATGGCGATTTAATAAAATTGAATACTCATCGCGAGAGCGTCTTGGGAATTTAATATTTCGCGGCGAAGACCGCGACTCACCTCGCTTCATTGCGGAAAGATGAATTCCGCCCGAGAGAGCTTGATTTATCACGAATTATTAAAATTACTCCTCGGTCCCGCGTGGAGGCTCTCATCTGTGTTGAAAGGCAAAAACTAACGTCAAAAGCTGTTTTTCCACGGGTCATTTTTCACTCAGACTCTCCGCAGACTTCCAGTCAATCTTTGTCGAGAGCCGGGAGAACGTGCGCGCGCGCGGATATTCCTGAATTATTTAAATGCGCGAGAGAGGTGCGCGGAGTCTTCCTTCATCCGCGCGAGCGTGATTATATTCCGTGGATCGAGCCGTGGAAAATCGCGATTCTTTCCCGGCCTCGCGTATGATTACGAAGCTTACACGCGCGGATGGGAATCTGAAATAGCGAGATACCGAGGAGATCCTGGCGAAGCTCCATAGCGGCAAGAGAGCGTTGCGTAAAGCGTGCATAATAACGGCCGTTGTCTTCAGCTCCTTTTATCGGAGATTAATTCGCCAACCGTGAAATTTTGCTCAAACATTATAGCGCTTGATATTACGGAACAATAAAAGAACGCACACACGCATTCTCCATCGTGAGAAATTTACAAAAATTCGACAGTATCGATAGCCTGCGCAACGATCTTATAAACGTCACGGTATTCGATTTTACACGAAATGTAAGACGCGCATTTACCGTCGCGAGATGGTAATTCCTTTAAATTTGAAGCCGCCGGCAATCTCTCCTCTCTCTCTCTCTCTCTCTCTCTCCCTCTAAATCTAAACAACGATGACATAGCTAGCGAAGATGAGCGGTACCGACGTATTATTACGAAGATTATTTCCGGAAAATCTCCTACCGGGTCATAAGTCACGTTAACATGTTCGCTACTGCACAAATCGTTCATTGTAACTCTTGCTAATATTGCTGTAAATATTTTTAGTAGCTATACTTGATATAGTGCATGTTTATACTTATGCGTACATAAAATATATTAAACGTATTAAATAAGCGAATTGAATACTTGTATCACATACTTGTGTGACGCTGGTACACGGAAGTAACAACTCCGTTACCCAGTCAAAAACGTACAGTTCATTCGAATCAACGTCAAAAACCCATTGTCGAAATTTAGATTGATTCGACGTCAAAGACATAATTATAGACGTGTCTTCAACTGCAATTTCAACATCGAATGAATTGATTAATCGTGTCTCAAAAGAAGAAAAAACTCTGCAAACTAAACTACCTACTTTTGATAAGATATAATTTGCAATAGAATTGGAAAATAGAAATGTATTTATGATCTTAAAAATAAGAAGTAGAAATAAAAATAAAAAGTTGAAAAATAAATATTTGGAAAAATTGGAGAATGTACACATTTATAAAAAAAGATTACATATATTACTGCATATACATATTGACCTTTGAAATGTTTTTTTTTTTAACAAATCAGAATCCTTTATTTCTATCCCTAGGATGGAAATAAATCTTTCTGCTTACGTTTTACTATGCACCACGAACTTCAGGCAAGAACAGAAGTGGATAAAGTAGGAACTTTAATTCATGTCGATTTAACGTTATCGCAAATTTGTCCGCAGTTATCATTGATATTATAATTACTTTATCATTGACTGATAATAACGATCAAGAATCAATAACAGCCAGTTCAAATAAATAATATAAACAGCGAAATGTTGAAAATTACATAGGTCGATATTGTAGCAAAATCGACATTCATTCAACTCAACGGATCATCGGTCGTTTCGGCATCGAATCAGATTCGATTCAACGTTGCGCTTCTATCTGGGTAAATATAAGGCGTAACTATAAAAATGAGAGACAATAGGCAAATGTATAGAACTGTTCAACCAGTCATAAAGCGTAAATAAGCTATGTTTATTGTTAAGCACTACAGTTTATGCATGCTTTATAATTGGTTGGACAATTCTATACGTTCGTTTATCGGCTAATTCTTATGGTACGTCTTATATTTACGATTACAGCAAGCCATGTGTTAAGGCCTTAATCACTTTTTTCAGCAGTGGAATGATATTTTTCTCTGTATACTCACGTGGACCAAAGCTCGTGTGTGGGCGGCAGCTTGACGTCCGCCGTCGTCTTCTCGGGCAGCTTGTAGTACTCGTATACGTACGAGGCGGAGGGATCATCTCCGTGGCTGGCCACCGCCGACACCTGGTGCTGTTGCTGCAGGTTTAGCATTGCTGCGGTCGCCACGGAGAGCGGATGCTCGCAGTAGGCGCGCCAGTCGCCCTCCATACCCTGCACCTGCACCTGCACAGCGGCGACCCTCTTGTGAACTTCCGGATCGGCGCCCTCGGCGCCGCTCTGCAGGGACTGCGCCGCCTGGGCCGCCGCCTCCTCTGCCCCCAGCTCTTCCTCCTCCTCCGGTTCACGCTGACCGGACACGTAACTTTGCTGTTGTTGCTGTTGCTGCTGCTGCGCGTCGTCGCTGACGACGTTGCTGTTGGTATCTTCCTCGCCGCGACTGCGTCGCCTGCAATTACATGAAAAGATTCGTTCATTCACGGAAAGTTCGCGTAATCGATGCGAAATATTCCTTAGCGATAAGAAAAAAATATGTCAAGAAAATATTTATGTCGGTGATGTATTAAGTTTAAATAATAGTATCGATAAACGTCCGCAATAATTGAAACAAACCAAGTTGACTCACAAACTCTTTGTGTTTATTTACTCATGATACGAACGAGACTGAGCCGAGGCGATTGTTTCTGCTAGGTAAGATTGAATATTCATATCTTAGAATCCTTCATTTCTGTCCTTATCTTAACACAATAAATCTAAAGACAATGATTAATTGCGTCGTGTACGTCGAAACCGGAAGGTCAACATCGACCACAACACGTTAAATTAATATACATCTGTAGATTCGAAATCACACTTTTGCTTTTTATATTGCAAGTAAATTTCTACATTATTAAATGATATCGCAAGCAAAACAATCAGCGTTGACTCTTATTTGCTTTTTCTCTCGTTTCTGTAGATTGTATATTTTGAAAGCCGTCACACTTATCATCGACTTGGTACTTTTTCAGACATCCAACAAGGATCTTTTATTTTTATTTTAATATCTAAAAGACTTCACGCAGAAAAATTATTTATTGGCATAGCAAATTGTTTGTTTCTATAATGACAGGAAAAATATTTGTTACACGGAAAACATCATTTTGCTGTTGTAGCAAAACCTTGCGACAGCAATAAAGTTTAATTGGCAAAATTTAATTAGCAATTCATACTCTTAACAAATCTTTCTGCTGTCACTATGGTAACAAACAATTTGCTATGCCAGCAAAACATTTTTTCTCCGTGTTCTTACGAAAATTTCATAGAACACTGAAAAATAAATTTGAGGTTCACCTGACGAGAGACAACCAACGCGTTTTTTGACGGCGACAGGTTGTCGATGGAAACGGAATTTCTGATTATAAGAACGAAATTTGGTTCACGAGAACTAGAAATTCTCTCCCCTTCAACGCAGAACGCGTCTAGTTGTCCATTGTCGGCTAGGCCGCACCAAACTCGTTTTTCAAGCGAAAAATGATAAATCTGCACCGATCTGATATCACACGTCCGCTTTCTCATGGGTCCGCCGGCCTTGGCGGGGACCCGTCAAGTGCGGTAGTATAAAGCAGCGGTTAACATGAAAGTGCGTAAGTACGTAATAACTAATTATCTCTTCAGTGAGAAGGCCTCGTTATGAGCGCGCGTCCTCCGCAGTGTCTCGCAAATCTATCGGCAGGAGGAAGCGTGTCCCCCGCGATCAACAGAATACTCGTCGTACGGCCGATTCCCGCTGTTGGCGACGGCCGTAAGCGACACGACAGCGTGTCGCTTGAAAAGTCTCCCCCGAAGGTCGCGGTAATGAATGTGCCGCGGGATAACTGTTAGAAATACCCGGCCCGGTAGAATGTAATAAATTACAACGGACCCATCGAATTTATCAATTAGCGATAATCGCGGCGCATAAGCCGCGCTGATGATTCCTCAATTTAGCAATGACCACCAGCGGTGGAAGTGCGTCGTGCGCGGCGCATAGTTGCGCCGGTAATTTATCGCCGACGCCGCACATCGCGATATCTAATCGCCTGCGCGAGACCGCGAGAGAGGGTATACATACGCGCGCTTTCGACTCCGCGCTCAGCCACCTGGATATTTGTCACCGGTCGTTACTTTACGCCGAAGTAATATCTTCCGGCTGGCGGGGACCGTCCGCGATGATGAAATTCATGGGAGTGCGCGCGAGGCGCGGGGACGACTTCGCGCGTCGAAAGGAAAAATAGAAAAAATATATATACTCGACGATGAGGATGACGAGGACGACGACGCTCGTCTCTCAACACTCAATCGTACATTTGAATAAAGAGAATCGAAGCGGGCCCGACTGGGGATGAACGGTTATGCGATAAAGGATCGCGTCTACATTTTTCTATATCACTTCGTGACCTTAAAGAGATATTTCACTGTGTTTAGTCCGCGAAAACTGTTGGTTCGGGTAAAGCGAAAGCGTGCATTCGGTTGAGTGAGTATGACCTCGTCTTTAGGTCGGAAAAGGCTACTTTTCTGTAACGAATGGTTATTGCGGACTACATGCGAGTATATTCGAATATAACGTACGTAATGTTAACGTGCTATTATGTTTATTTTTCGTTGTAAGCATTTGGCCAAACGGTAACGCACTGGCATTTACCGTTTGGTCAAATGTTCACAACTTATTGAGTTGTAAATGTGTGCGGTGCTATGTAAATTTGAAGTGTATAAACGTACATTACAGTTACGAATAAACACACGACTCTTTAACGTATTTTTCCCGGATCGAAACGAAATTGAATAAAAGAGGAACATATTAAACGCTGTCACTTGTCAGCTGGAAAACGAGTATTGAAGACGGGCAATCTTCTCGCGCATATTCATACGCATATTCGCATGCACTCGTCATATTCCTTCACTTAGTAGATCACATGTATGTGAGAGTGCACGAAACGGACATAAAAATGATAGAACGAGTTGATAACGAGCCAAAAATGGATCATATGAGAAATAAAAACAGCGAAATATTTTTGTAAAAGAATGCGTTTTTATCTCTCTCTCTCTCTCTCTCTCTCTCTCTAAATATATATATGTCTGTAGTATCTATTACACTACCCATTTAGCATGGACTGAAAGAAACGGAAGTGCTACATTCAAATGAATATTTGCTAAAAAGAATATTGGAGTAATTATTTTACCTGGACTAGTAAGTGATAAATATTACTTGAATGTAGCACGCTGAAAGGGGAAAAGCGCTACACTCAAGTATAAATATTTACTTAATCCCCGGGTAAAATAATTATTCCGACATTCCTTAGCAAAGATTGATTTGAACGTAGCTCTCCTTTCCGCTGGCATTTACCCGTTCGGCCGAATGCTCGCGCCGCATCGAGTCGGTACGACGACTTCTTTATTCATGGCGCAGTTTTTGCCGCGCGAAGAGATATCTGCATTTCAGCACTTGAATTGCCGGCGCGGTACGCGCATCACCTGTCTCCGCGCGACCGGGATGAACTTGATCGCGGATCGAGAAGGAAAGCTCGCGCATTGCCACCGGGTCGGAGCAGATGACGGGAGGGGAGGCTGGCGACGAAGGCGGGTAGAGAAGGAGGGAGGGAGGGTCACGTCGTAAATACGTATGCACGTACGAAGATTAATTATTATAAACCCCTGCCTGTTGCCTGCAGTCATCAATTTATACTCCTCTCTCGTGCATCCCAATTCCAATCCCGATCCCGATCCCGTGAGTCGCGCTGTGGAATAAAGGCTCATCCTCTCTAATTTATGCATGTCGAATCAATCTCCCTCCTTCCACCCCTCCTTCCTCCGTCTCTCTTCCTCGCTCGTTCTCGCGCTACCTACGGTCGCCTACTTCCTCCACGTTCCTCTTCGCGCACCTGGACAACCGTCGACCCTGAGCGTGCGCGCGCGCAAGAGAGAGATAAAGACAGGGAAGGAAAGAGAGAAAAGGAAAGACCAGCCACCCCGATAATGAGGACCCGAGTTATCCTGTGCAAATATTTTCCTCGACGGCTGTTTGCACAGGCACGAACGGGCCCCACGGGCCGATCATCGAAACGCGCCGCGGACATGCGCGTGTATGTGAGTTTTTGTGCGATGAAATGTCGGTCGGACGGTGTGTGTGCGCGGTTGCGATTCCGTGGCTGCGATTCCGCGCCCGGCATAATACCCGCTCGTCTAGATAATGAATTTATGCGCGCGGTCATCCGGGCGAAAACTTCATTCCGGACGAAGCGCAAACACAGACTTCGCCGGCGATGAAATATCTCGCGCCGCGAGAAGCTATTCTTCTTGTCGGTGGGATCCCCTCGACGTCTGTTATCGTATCGCGCGTATGTTTCACTCGAATCCCCCTTCCGCCGCATTAAACGATAGCGTGCGTTTAGCATGTGCGACGCGCGCGCGCGAGCGAAGCTATTCTTCGGCAAACGTTTTCTCACGGGGCGCAGGTCGATGTTTATGGCGCGACGTTAGCAGTAAATTCGTGCGATTACGAGTTTACACACGGGGGAATTAATTGCAATCACGTATCCGCGCGAGCCGCGGGTTCAAATAAATTTCAACCTCCTGCGGAGCGATCGAAACTGCCGTAATTTCGGTGAGTTCGATTCTCGATGTTGCGGGCGTGGAACGCTGGTGTGGTCTCCGTGTGTCTGTGTGTGTGTTGTGCGCCAATTATCGCAAATAAATATAGAGATCGTTACTTTCGTACGTCGAAATTTGGATTCATCGGGGCTGCGGCGCCTTCTCTGCCTCTCGTGCGTCGTAATTTCGCATCGTGTAATAACACCACGCGCTGTATGCGCGCCGCACTCGCCCGTGCGTTTCTTTATTTACGAGATTCGACACACGCACATAAATCCCGACGGCTTCGTCACATTGTATGCCTGCGCTCCGAGGAAATCCGCTCCGGAGCGCTTAATAAATGAAGCCCCAATGATGATAACTTATGATGCACGACGCTCAAATGATAACCCGCGCGGCAGGCAACGGCGCAAATAATCGGACAAAATGCCCGGCGTGCGGCGATCGATCCCTCGTTAACGCATTTCAAGCGAATCCGCCGTAATAATGCACGGAGACCTGGCAATTTCGTTCGCGGGATCTCGCCGGCAGCCCTGGGGACGCGCAAGAAGAAGCTTCCGTCGAGATCCGCCTCGCCGTTCGCTCGCACGAGAAAAAGCCGCGCGCACGATAAGACCGCTGAAAGCGCTCCCGAACAGAGA